ATTTTTTAAAAAATTAAAACCTAAGCCTTAATGACTTGGAAGATATTACTAAAGATTCACATATCAGCTTACAGGGCCTAGAATGCTTAACAATAACACAATTTTCTTGTTTTTCCAACTGTAAAATTTTTAAAATTAGAAGAAATTTTCTAAAGAACAATCTGTGATAATTCTTCTTCCTTCAGTAAGTAAAAAAAAAAAAGGAGTTTCCATTTGAAATTCTGAGTCAGCAAGAATACAAAATCACCTATGGAAACAGATAAAAAAAAATGCTGCCCATCTCAAAATTCATCACAGCAATGTTAAAACCGTGAAAACAAAAACGAACTTCTGAAAAAAATGTGTTTCTTCAAACATGATACAAAAAAGTATGACTTCCATCAATGTTTCAGCTGCACAACCTATAAATACATGCTTCTTTACCTACTTTTTTTGTTTTCTTTTAGGTAAAAGAAATAGTCACCATTCTTATTAAAAAACTTAGTCGCTAACACTGAAGATTATGGACAGTAAAGTCAACTTCAACTGTATTTGGATTGGTGGGGAGGAATTCCTTTATCGGTTTGGTTTTGTGTAACGTTAAGTTCAACATGATTTCAGCCATCACAGTTTTAGATATTGAAACCGTGTCAATCGTCACTTAGAACTAGACTGATAACAATTATTACATTGCTCTTAGTAACAGTGTTAAAATCCACTGACTAGCTACAATGGCAATAAGGTTATACACTTATGTAGCTACTTGCCAAAAGGTGGTAACATGCTTGTGTATCCATTCACTGGCACTATGGTTACATGCTTATGTTACCAATGTTCTACAGATTTTTGTGCAAGCACTTAAGCTTTACCATGACAAAAAAAAGGGTCTATTATTAATTTACGAATTTTGTTTAAAGGGACTTTCATCAAATAAAACTAGTCAGTTTTAACTCAAGTTGAAGAAATTTTCTGTCACAGAGTATACAATATTGCTAAGAAAAGACAATAAACCCCTATATAACACTTAACAAATTCCTCGTCGAAACCTGAAGTAACAGTGAGGACATTCGGGCATCCATCTCAATTAGAAGAGCTGAACTAATCAAGATGTAAGTTTCATAATATTTTGAAGTTTAAGTGTATCCAGGTACAAATGTTGTTATAAACAAAACAAAAAAACTAAGTGTTTTTTTTCACTCAAGCTCAGAATTTAAACCTCAAATTTTTCAGGTACTTTCCATTTGTAACATATTACAGGTAGGATCCTTTTCCACCACTTTAACATTGAATAAAATCATATTTAACAACTGCGAGCCTCAGCTGTTTTTCATGGTACTGCTAACAAACCTTGTGTGCTTTCAGACTTATCAAAACTAAATGTTTCATTTCTTTTTAAACTTATTATTATTTAAGGAATATTTCAACTTAAGCAGTTAACACTATAAAACCTTGCTCTACGAGTAGCTTATCCCTTTTTGAAACTAAAATTTCTTTCGTTTTAGAAGATCATGAGCAGGAACTCAACAAGTTTTCACTGCTGCAATGGGACGACTCATGATACTGGAGAGAATTACCCAACGTAACTGAAATAACAATATCCATTTGGCACAGTGCGTTCTTTTTCTAAGATCTTTCAAAGAACAGAAACAGTGATCTAACAACACACTTTTTTTTACATTTCCTATTCCATACAACTGATTCAGAAACTCTCTGTTTAATTTTAGAGAATTGACATTTGACACACAGAAAAAAATGTCAGTTGGACAAGGACACCTAATAACAAAGAACAGGCAGGCAAGTACTTAACACTAGATCACAGTTCCAATACAGCGGTTTCCTGACAGCTGCCTGTTGCTAAAGTCAATTTCTACATCACTGTTAACTTCACTATCTTCTATTTCACACACATTAGCAGAAATGTCGGAGCAAGAAGCATTGGTGGATGTGTAGCCTTCTGCCGACATTGACAAATAGTCCAGTCCAGAGTTTCGAGGAAGATCTCTTACTCCATCAACCATGAATCCTCTACCTCCTTGTGGTGGGAACCCGTAAGCTAAGACATCATCATCAGACTGGTTACCAGGAGTTGGTCTGTGACTACCAGGATGACTCCAAAGCTGCTCATGGACTGGCAAATACTGGTTAGGGTGGCAATTATACTTAAATGGTGAGGAAGGTGGACCATCATCCCCATCAACAAACTCCATATCACTTAGTCCTAGAATGGCTTGAAGATGGCCATCATCCCCTTGGCTATCATTACCTTCTGAATCACCTATAATGTCAGAGATGGGAAAGTCTAAGTCTACACTCTCATCAGCATCTGGCAGCCCAAGGAATTGGTTTTTGTTTTCACTAGGGAGTAATTCTATCTGGCTGTTCTGGCTGTTGGTATCTGCACTTTGTACACTAGATGAATCTGGTACCTCATTCATAGAGATCTCTGTGATGTTGTCAAGTGGTTTCTGAGCATTAGCCCAATCAGAACAGTCCCAATGGTATCCTGAAGAACAGCAAAGAAAGTGAATAACCTTTAAAGTGGTATTAAATAAATGACTAACTAACATACTAATTTCACAGTTACTATACTCAGTGACTGAACAAAGTGCCTAGATCATTATACAACACAAACAAATCAGAATGAAAAGTAAACATTCCTTGAACAGGACTTGAACATGGTGTCCCCTCTCATCAAATCTAGTTACCTGGTGTTGTATTCTGTTAAACAAACTATAAGGTTTTCTTTTCCATCCTGATTAGTACAATGTTCTCAACTGAATGATTAATCTTGAATGCACTCAACTATTTTCTACCAAAGCTCTTGGGTAGAATTTAAAAACAAAGTTGTGAGTTACCACAATTTCAAGTCCACCATTGATTACTGTTCATCCTGAGAATAAAAACCTTGTAAATTACTGAAAACTTGGAGATCATAATCTATTTCAAATTTTCTAACTGCTCCACATGTAGTTGAATAAGGTTGGGTTTTATTAGAAAAAAAAATTAAGCAAATTACACTTTTTGTAAAATACCAAAACAAAGTGATTGAACTAACCCTCTCTTTTTAAATCATAAAAAAGTTTAAATCATAATACTGCTAAAGTTAACAAAACTTCTATTTATAGCTTGCAAAAGATTACAAAACTATTCATTTAATAGTGCAATTAAACTACTTAACTGATAATTAAAGTGAAAACATAACAAAGCTGTGCAGCACTAGATGCAAGAACATGTGCAGCATTGCAGCTAAGTAGGCTTAAGCTCTACAAGCTTAAGAAATCTGCAACAGCTTAACGGTTACGAATTGTACAAGTGCCATGTTTTGAAAATTCTTCATTTAAAATGAACAGCAGTAAAGGCTTAGTCATTGAAAACAGAAAAGAAGTCCTAAGACATAAGAATCTTGTTTCCAAGGTAAAGATTCAGAATTTATCATTTAATGAAATATTCATCATTTTCCTTCTGATTGATCAACTGTTTTTATTGATGAAGAAAGGAAAATATTACTTGAAACAATGACAAAAAAAAATCCCTAAAAAGTGTGACATGAAACTGTCTTTATCAGTCACAATGAGATTATGATATTCAAGAACATGCTGAATATTATTGAATGTTTGGAAGTTTGAAACATAACAACATGTAAAATTTTAAAGTTACTTATCAACATCTGAAAGATTGGAGTAAATAATAGTTTAGGAAACAAATGTTGAAAAACAAATACTTATCTTTGTAACTTTTGGATAATTAATGCTCTGTTTAGAAACTATTGTTCATCTCTGTAACTTGTGGAAGATGTTTGTCTTGGTTTGACACTAATGTAATTTTTTAACTTGTAAGTAGTATTCCAAAGCTCATGTAACATTTGAGAAAATTTCAGATAACTGTTCACCATAAAACGTTGCGATTTTTTTGCTTCCTTTACATTAGCACTCGTAAAACATTTAGTGCTCAAGATATCTTATTCGAAATCACCATTGCAGAGAGAAAGTAAAGTATGGGTAAAACATACATACATATAAGTTTATTTGTTAATATTCAGATTTTTATGAAATTGTAAAGTTGGTGCTGGGTTATATTGCCAAGTTATTAGTGATGAAAGATAAAGGATCAAGTCTGGTAGGGAAAAAGGATATTTATAATTCAATACAGAAAGAAAACATTGCTAGACTCTACCCATTCATGCAGCCGTGCTCTGCAGTGAAGCCAAGATTAAAGATTTTTTAATATAATGTCATCTAGACAGAAAAAGCTTTTTTGGAAAACCTCTACCTTTAGTATCCTTGCCTCTCTTCTCCCCTGGATGGTCTGGAGGGAACAGAGCTATAGTTAGTAGTCCAAAACCTACTTCAAACAGTAAAATAACTACACAGAAATAGGAGAATAATAATACCACCACCAGGCCCAAGCAAATTAAAAATTTAGATGCAGCTTCAGAATAAACCAAGAAAAACAGAAAATAAAAGTATATCCTGTCCTTCAAAATAAATTCTCAAGAGACTCTATACTTGAGAGCTAATGATTTATATAATCACACAACAACTAATTAATTTAAACTTGGTAATAATGCAACAAACATACAGTTTTTTTTTACACACTGAATTCATCAAGTTCAATAAAATTTGAAAAATGTTGACGTCGTACATACCAGGTCTGGAAATTTATGTGATTATGCTATTACATAATTATCTTTTATTCAAAGCAATGGTTTATATACCATGTACTAATAATCAAAAGTAACATCCAGCACAAAAGATCTCTTGGACGTTTTTGCTTTATGGAATTCTATAAGCTCATAGTTCACGCTCTAAGATTCAGTTGTAATCTAGAATAAAGTTCTAGTACCTTCACTCTTTATTAGATTTAACTTACAAGTTAAAAACAAGAAGTGAGTCAATACTTTGATAGCTTTCCTTGTTCCATCAATAACATGATCACTTCCGTAAACCCCGTACTTGTGAAAATTTTAAGTGTTATTTCTATTGAAGCATATTAAGTTGTAGTTCTCAATTTTTAATACATGCAAATATGTAGTTCTACAGAAATCAATATATTTGAAAAGAGCTGAGCCTCCTAGACTGAAGTTTTCAGAAATTTCTGATTGATAATTGAGAAATAAATCTCACTTTAACAAACTTTCAAAATATCACAGTAACAAAACAGAACATTTAGCAAATCTTGCACTACTACCAGCTCAAATAGGCGAGTCTGTTCATTCCCCGTGAAAAATGTTTAAGCATTACATAGTTAACAAAACCACAGCAAACTCATGCTAAGCCATAAAGAATAACCTCAGCCTTGTCAACAACACTAATTTTTTTATCTTTAGAGGATGGGCAATTTTCAGGGTTTTTATATAAATGTAAATTATAGTTGGCTGAAAATTGATTAATTCAGACACCATTTGCAACTGCAAAGCTACCAAGGTTCCCTAAGAGAAACATTCTGTTAGTAGGATGTCTGGGGCCAAACTTGCTTTGCCTACCCCACGAGACAGGGGAAGGAATGCTTACCCCGCTCTGGACAAAGACGTGGGGGAGGGAGAGGTGTGACTGTAGACTGATGAGGATTTTGTCCCACTGGTCCAGCTGAAATTCAATATATAATAGAAACTAAAACAACTTAAAGTTTGAATCATTTACTAAACTGGTAGATAATAAACTATTATACCAGTTAATTATTAATTATTAAATTATTAATAAATTATTATTACACTAGTGTAACTACAAAAATTTCAAGTTTTAATTCACCCAAATCTTATACCTCATAGGTTGATGTAAGTCTTGCTCAATCATAATAAATAAGTCATACATGTTGTGTCATATCCTAATTAGACTATTCGACATTTTACAAGCTACATCAAAGAAAAGTATATTAATCTCAATTGTCAGATTGAGCTATATAATACTACGCTAAATTTATCGTGTTTTGCATGCTACATCAAACTCAAATGATGACATAAACCATACTAAATTAAGACAAATTATAACGATTCCTAACTAGATTATACTACACAAGAATGTTAAGCCTGACACATAAAGCTATACTGTGCTGAAATGTTAAGCCTTACACCATTTACTTGCTGGATCGTAGTACACTAGTACATCAAATACTAGATAGTTTATATTGTACTACGACTTTAAGCCCAATAACCTAAACCAAGAGAAGCAGGAAGTTAGTTACTGTCTATATTTTATTGACAATGATATAGTATTATGGTCAACAAAATACCTCATATAGAAATACGTTTTAGCCCAACTAGAATGACAAAAGGCATCATATCCATCACCTGATAATCCAGGAAAATAAAATTATGATACATCTTAACCCCATTAGTGACACAAGTCTACCACATTATTAACTGACACAGTAACTCTAGAATTACCAGTAGGGACCAGATGGACTCCACTGGCATTTTTATTTAAATTTTTCAAAGCTGTTTGTGTGTCTGTGACACTGTTGTTTACAGCAGCATTTCCCAAGCATTCTCATGCCCCCTACCCCCTAGAATAAACATGAAACTTGTATATTTGCTGATAACTTAACAAAATACAATATATATAATATATTATATAATAAAATAATATATATAATATACAAGTAAAAACTAAAAACATACCATTTTTTTCATACTTTTTAACACCAATATATAAGTGTGGCAGGCCCACACACATACAGATCCTTGTCTGTTTGCCAGAGTGACATCACTGTCATTTCATGGCACTTCCCTGCCCCCATGGGTGGATTATTAAATTCTCATTCACTTCCTTACAAAATATATGCATATTTTTTTCCCTCACAATATTCTATTTTCCAAGTCTCTTCATGCCCCCCTAGAGGGGCATGCCCCACAGTTGGAGAAATGCTGGGTTACAGAATCCATAGTAAGGTACGAGTCGCACAAGAAAAATGTAAACATGAATATTGGAATTAATTCCACTAATTACTGCTGAAGTCCTTAGTGTGTTTTACACAGAAAATTAATGATTCCACTCAATTTCTTTGATCAGTTCTATAAAGTGAGTGTTGCCGTAGATACAAATCAAAGTTTTTCTACTGATAGTGAACTGTACAAAAAGAAGTAGGTAATTCGAAGGCTGAAAAATAATAATAATATACATAACTCTTAATTTCAATGCTCATTAAATCATTACTTTTAGTTCTACCCAACTTAATCATTGTCTTACACTATATTCAAACTTTTATAGCACAAACCTTAAGAATCAATACCAAACATTATATCTGAGGACTTGTTTTAATGATATGTTAAATGTAGATTAGTAACCAATATTTCTATTAAAGTAAATAAAATTACTTGTATATCCAGAATATACAAGAATAATAATAAGCAATACTTTATTTCAAGAATAGAAACTTACATATTAACCAACAATGTTTAAAAAACATCAGACACGTAGTAGTGAAAACCCTAAATAATACCCATCAATGTTTTAAAGAAATATCCTAATAAAATGATAAAAACTTAATGATTTTGTTAAATTCCCTCTGAAAAGAGTGATAGTGAAGGCTTCAGAAGCCATGTTAGATTTCAAAGGTGTATATAACCTAGCTGGAATAGCATAGTTTCTACAATTCACACATTCTATGTTCCAGTTAAAGTGTCTTCTCTAACAGGAATATAGCACTTTTGAGTTAGTACTTCCCCTATTCAAAAAGTTCTCCATTTTCTTCCACAGCAGTGCTTCAAAGAAGTGATAATGTTAACCATGTTGCTTCTGAAGTACAGAGATCAGAAACAGATTTATATAACCATGCTTACCAAAATATGGTGTTTGCTGGGCAAGATTACCATTCATTTCATTACATATATATCTAATACCACTTTTTTAGTTTCTTCTTCTTCTCTATAATAACCTTAATCTCATCTAGTTTGGGGTTAGCCGGTAGTTTTGTAAGACAAGAATTTTTACATCCGGGTAGCTGGTCCAGGTGGTAACCTTAAAGGATGAGCAAGTTCGGCAACAGGGATTTCAACTCATGACCCTCAGATTGCGGGTCGAGCACCCTAACCACCAGGCCATGCCAGGTCCACCAATTTTTATTTTTCTCCAGCACACAAAATATGGACTGTGCTGAAATTGGGACGGTTAGCGTGTCTGTATACCTAGTACTTTAGAAATATTTTTAGACTTGGACATTTTGTACAAGGAAACAATTAAATAACTATAACAGTGCTGAAAAAATGTTAAACGTAAATCACACTTTAAATAAGGAATGATTTTTTTAAATTCTTCTAATCATTCACTACTAATATTAATATTAGAAGTCGGTTATCCTGAATACAATAAAAAACACAGGCCCTGAGTAATGAGAAAATTAGTATGAAAAACATATCTTTTTTACGATGATAATACCAAATGTAACAAATAAAAATACCTGCATTATATGTCCAGTTCTACATACACAATAATATTTAATAATTTTCTGAGACTTTAATAAGTAACAAGATGAGTGATTGAATAAACAGAGTTCAAGACTTTCTCTAAAGATTTAGTCATTAAAAAGAAACAGAAAGAAAATACCCCATATAAAATAACTTGTATAGCACGAGTTTGTGATAGCATGAAAAATTTCAACTACAAGTTAAACAGTTATAAAAACACTTAAACTGATTAATTCAATAATAACTTCACATTGTCTTCTATAAATTATAACAGATAATTAAAAAATATATACAAGAAAAACTGGCAATCAGGCACATCAAATTCAAGACAAAATTGCTGTTATTTAAGTAAGAAAGCTCCAAGATTAACTCACCAGATAGATCATCCACTGAACTTAGTTCTGAAGAGACTCCAAGACTTGAAGGACCTCTAGATGGTATAACTGGATTGACCACAGGAAGAGGAGAAAGAGCCACAACCTTTTGAGGCTTCAAGTCTGTTGGAACAAAAAGGGAACCAATGATGACCACAGCATCCATAAAGAATTTTGAGAAGAATTAAGAAAAAAATATTGTTTAAAGCCTTACAGCAATGACAATTAAAATATATTGTTTAAAGCCTTACAGCAATGACAAATGAAATATGTTGTTTAAAGCCTTACGGCAATGACAATTAAAATATATTGTTTAAAGCCTTACAGCAATGACAAATGAAATATGTTGTTTAAAGCCTTATGGCAATGACAATTAAAATATATTGTTTAAAGCCTTACAGCAATGACAATTAAAATACATTGTTTAAAGCCTTACAGCAATGACAATTAAAATATATTCTTTAAAGCCTTACAGCAATGACAATTAAAATATATTCTTTAAAGCCTTACAGCAATGACAATTAAAATATATTATTTATAGCCTTACAGCAATGATAATTAAAATATATTACTTATAGCCTTACAGCAATGACAATTAAAATATAGTTAAAGCCTTACGGCAATGACAATTAAATATATTATTTATAGCCTTACAGCAATGACAATTAAAATATATTATTTATAGCCTTACAGCAATGATAATTAAAATATATTACTTATAGCCTTACAGCAATGACAATTAAAATATAGTTAAAGCCTTACGGCAATGACAAAAGTCAAATGGTTACTGGAAATGTATTAAGTTTATTTATCTATTTATTTATCATTTATTTACATTAAAAGTAATCAAGTTTCTTCATAGTTTCTTACCTAAATATGTTATAGTTAGAGACAGTTAACTTATATTTCGGTCTTATTTTTCTATTTTAGTTAATTACGTATTAATTGTTTCAAAATGTGTAATCTTTTACAAATACATCATCCTTTGTGTTAGTTCTCAATGCTTACGATATTAGGGGCTGAACAAAAATTTTGCCATAGGGTTGCACACGTCTCCAAAAGAAACTGTAATATGCCTCAAGGGCACTGTTGAAATTACGAATCTACATCATCTTTAAAAATATTCTATAAAAAATTAAAAGGTATGTACCCTTTTTCTATTTCCTAATTTTAATTATTTGTTTGTTTGTTTGGAATTAAGCACAAGGCTACACAATGGGCTATCTGTGCTCTGCCCACCACGGGGATCGAAACCCGGTTTCTAGCGTTGTAAGTCCGTAGACATACCGCTGTGCCACTGGGGGGGGGGGGGGCTTTAATTATTTCATTGCATTGTACATTTATGATAATAGACAGAGTTAGTGATATGATAGAGAAAATGAGAAATAAAATATAAACATTTATGTTAAAAAAAACTTTTGATATTCATTTAGGAGGTTCTACAGGTTTTGCAACTGAAATATGAAACTATTTTTTATACTTAAAATAATAATCACTCGAACTATTTTAACAGTCTGAGTGCAAATAACAACTATAGATAAATAACATTTTTAGTCGAAAGACATAATTAGAGTAACGTCATTCTTTGTGTACAAGATACTTATAAACTTTAACAAATTCTTACAACGTTTTGTGAGGAACACACAGAGTTACCGTATTTTCATTGCATAAAGGTCTTTCCCTAGTCGAGTGGAATTTAATTACTACCACCTTTGCTTAAAAAATTAACCTAACATTAACATTTGTTAGAGCACTTAAATAAGAACACGTTATCAAATGTTATATATTTTTACTTATAACTTTCTCTCTCTTTATCTATACATAAATACGTGATTACTTTGACATTTTTATTCACCTTAATATGAAAGAGTATCACATTAAACATCAACTATTGTTTTCTGTAGATCAAATAATAAATATACACTCACCATTTTGGATTTTATTCTGATACATTTTTTCTTTGGATCTCTCTTTGTCGTGTTCCCATCCTTCTTTGACAATGGAATCAGAGTCAGATGCAGAGTTGGATGGTGGTGGAGGAGGAAGAGTAGGTGCTACACTGACAATTGGCTTGTTAATGTTCTGCAAAAATTCATTACTATAGCGAGGGATGCTCTCCAAGTCATCAGCAGCACTGCCATAGCTGCGAACTGTGTCAAAATTATTCATTGTACTCAGAGTTTCTTGAGTGCTTGGGGTGTAAGAAGCTGGGCGGGGAGGTATTGTGGGTCTTATGAATGGTGTTACTTCCAAGTTACTCACTTTACCCATTCTATTGAAGTTGTCCTTATCTACTGGGTTCTTCAACATCATTTCACTGGCTGAGTCTTCCTGTGTGGCATTGTTTTGAGGCCTTCGATGTCGTTTACGGTGATAGACACGACAGCAACAGACAATTATTATGACAGCAATGATAATAAAAGCTAGTACTACAGCAATACCAATGATTTCTTCTTTAGTAATGTTCATGCTAGTTGATGTGATGGAGGTTGTAAAACGAGATTCTGTACAAAGAGGTCCTGTCATGTTTGGTTGACATTGGCATCGAAAACTTCCCCGGAAGTTGATGCATGTTGAACCTACAGCACAAGGTGATGTTTGACACTCATCAATATCAAACTCACAAAAGTTACCATGGAAACCATGACACTTGCAACTAGGTCCAGAAACACCTTCTTCACATATGCCACCATTTTGGCAAGGATTAGGGTTACAGTAACGTCCATAACTACATCGCTTCCCGGTGAGACCTGGTGTACATTCACATCGAAAATCATTATTATTATTGTAGCAGGTGCCACCATAAAGACAAGGATTTGAGGCACAAGGATTACTGTCAAACTCACAACGAGGACCAGAGAAACGATGTGGACACTGGCAAGAAAAGAGCTGTCCCAGATCCTTACATGTTCCACCATTGAGACAAGGTTGACTACCACAAACTCCTGGGTCCATCAAAGCACCACAGAAATATTCCACACGAACAAACCTATACCACCAAAAAAATATGTGTTACTGGTATTAAATTAAAAGTCCATTTTAAAAAGAAAGGTTTTTGTTATAGTTTCTAAATCGATTTTAAAGACATCAGAATTTGTTTCCATTTTATATAAACATGACTGAACTCTAATCTGTTCTGGTTTTGTGGATGTTTTGTCTTCAGAAAATTGTAATGCCAATAAACCAGTTTTCTAATTATTAGTCGACTTAAATATTCTTATTTTTGTTTTAAAGTAAAGCTACTAAGGCTATCTACCACTGTCCCTAATTTTGAGCTACTAATCAAATAGAAGGCAGCCAGTCAGCAGCACCCTACCATCCACAGTAAAGAACTGATCATCACTCTTATAATGCACACCCACAGCTTAAATGAGGTGCAATAAATTGTGACCCTGCACAGGATTGAGCACGGCTTGTCAGCTCCGAAATCCAGAGCTCAAAAAACTTTAAAAATCATGAATTAACACCAGCTATGCATTTTTCGTGACTTTTATTACGTAAAAATATTCCTGTAATTTTGATAAAAATAAACTACAGTTGAAAACTGTAGTTATTTGTGTGCTTATTATAACAATAAGTGTTTTTGAATTACATCACAGTTCTTTCTGCCTTATTCTAAAGGTTTTCCAATAATTTAATTCCTACCTTCTTAATGTGGCAACAGAGCTGCTTGCCGAAGAGATGAGTGGAAGTGGTAATCCTGCCACCCGAATGTCATCCATACACCCAATGAAGCCCATTCTTACATCATCAAGTGTCAAGGTGTGTACCTCACCTCCAAAAAAGACATCATTTCTTTCCAAGTTCAGCAGTTCGTGAACACCTGGGGCCTTCCCCGATATTCTAAATTGACCATCAACAAAAACTTCTGCTGTATTGTCATGCCTGTCTAACTTTACCTCATGCCACAATCCATCATTCACTCTTACATTTGATACCTGAATTATTCCCTCACCACTGCCAAAATCGAATCGGTACTGGATGAAACCATCTACCATCTGGAGAGAAAGAACACATGCAATGTTTAGAGTGTCTGTTTGAAAAATATTTTCAAATTTATCTGAAACAAGAAGCTATTTGGACCACTTCTATAAAGATTTATTTTTTTTAATATATCTATTTTTCATCATTTTTTAAATTAACCACTTTGGTTTTTATCTATAAGTATAATATAATTAATAATTATTTCTTATATCTTTGACAAGGCCAATAGATAGATTTGGTTTATATTATTTATAATCATAAAAACATTAAAAATAATAATGAAAAATATAAGAAACAAGACAAGACAAGAGCAGAAGTAAGATAATAATTTAAAGTGACTTTTCTGACCCAAGAGTTATCCCCACATGAAATGAGATTAATTTCATACATTATAGATCACTTAACAAGAATAAAACAAAGCCATATACATGAAAGCACTTCTTAAAAAGTTCAAATTCACCTTTTGTACCACACATTCACAAAATAATTTTGCCAGTTATGTTCTTGTAAGTTTCTTGACTCCTGTATTTTAATCTGCTTGAATTTGTATTGCTTAGATATTTTGATATGTCAAGAAGTACTGTACAAAGATATTTTTCTGATAAAAACTACTACGAACGCTCAACATGGTGGATTTAGCATCACGTTAACCGATGAGAAAATTCTGGCTTTGTTTTTTTTACTTTTTCAAGTAGTACATTCAATTTTTCCTCCAAATTAAAAGAATAAAAAAAGTAAATGGTTCTTCCTTCTAACAGAAGGAAAATGTCTGTTGTTTTGTTTCTGTTGACTTCGTTGACCTTAAATTTATTTCACAGACTTCAATTTTTTTCTACGTATTCCATTCGATGAGATTCTACTTGAATAAAAAATCCGATACAAACTCTTAGTTACCTATCTTATCAGTCCTCCTTTATATGATTATTGTATTTATAACAAATTATAGTCACAGAGGTTATTAAATAATTAAATGAAGATTTTGTACCTCAAGTATACTGTAATCTCTCATTCCGGCAGCATACATCAGGTTTCCAGTTGCTAATTTTGTCCTTATTCGTAAAACCACACTTAAGTGTCGATTGATGGGGATGTTTAGTTCATAATGAGCATAACTCTTTCCACTGAAGAAAATTGGATGCTTTTCTGTAAAAAAAAATTAAAATATTTTGCATATATAAGAAGTTGATATCCAAATATTTCAGGTTTTATGCACATACACAAATATATATATATATATTTATTAATTTTATGAAACTTGGTAAATTGCTGAATATTAAATTTTAAACAAAATACAACATTGTGTGTAACAACAGAACAATGTAACAGACATTTTTTGATAATCACTTGAGTATTCCAATAATTCATATTATTTTTAAATGATGAATATATCAACTACACTACAGATGTCATTAGTTGTTGCAAAGATAACACTTATACAGTATTATCTTTGCAACAACTTGACGAACATTTAAAAGTCCTTCAAATGTTCTAGAACTTTTTCTTAATATACAACAGATAAGTTAAAATATGTTTAAACGTTTTCAATATAAAATAGCCGACATTCCAAAAAAGCTGCTGTCATTTTGTCAAGTATTTTACCTACAGACCAGAAAACTTCCTCAGTTTTAAACAAAAGCGAATGTTCAAATTTCAAAGCTCTTCATATTTAGAGGGATATATTTTACACAAAATAAGAAACTTTCTGATGTACACTTAATGCTAGTTATGTAACGAGATTAAAAAATAAGAGAGACGTTTTTCTTGAAATTTATAATAAATCTTATACAAGTTAAATGAATAAAAGTTTTAATCAGTTATAAAATATTTTAAAGTAATTCTTTAAATTTAAAGAACCACACCAATAAATATACATATGTGATTAAAAGACAGAAAAATATAGAGTCACAAAATATAAGTAAATGATAACAGCGAAGTATAGAGGGTAGTGCAACAGCCGCTTGCGTTAGGGCAGTATAGTAATTCTTTTTAATTTCCATCTGATTCATATTAATGTACGAGTGTATGTGAACAGTAAACAAGCATGGTACATGGACCGAGAAATGATCAAGATCTGGTTCTGCATATCAAAATGATTAGTAATGATTTAAGTTGGGATTATCAAACTTTTGGATCTATCTTTATATGTGTCTGGAATCAGTCCAGTGGAGTGAACCAATATTGGAGAAAAAAATGTTGACTATAATTTCAAATTTACTAAAATCAAATGTGTTACAAAAGTATTTGCACTCGAGATATGTTTGTGAATTTCTGACGCCAGTTTGACTCAAACTCTGACAATTCAGAGTTGATGTTCGTGTGACGAATAAAAATACTTTTGTCCATTGTACAGTTTGCATATTGCATTTGTACTACCATTAGAACCTCCAAAAGGCATATCTATAGCTTATCAGTATCCATGTATATTGTGTCCTATACTTACTCTCTAAAACCGTAAACTGTTAGCAATGTAGGGTAAAAATGAATATTTGACAACTGTGATATCAAATACATAATATAATACCGTGTTGAACGACACTCTGTAAAAAGTTATGTAATGGGTACTTTGAACCCCACATAAGGTCCAGTAAGGTCTTGTGACCTGGTGAACTTGAACCTTTTTCATTATTGCACTGAAATACAACTTTATATAAAAAACTTTTAACAAAACCAACAGCAACCCATCCTGACCTTCTTGAATAATCTCAGTTATTACTGTCACATGAGGAAACCAAAAATGTTAAACTATAGCTACCTGTTGGCTAATAGTTACCGTTCTGGTTACAAAAAAGTACATTTGTTATACAACTGAATTGTTTTATAAGATATTATTTGACTTGCTGAAAAAAAGTTTGCCTTTTAAAGTATGGACATAACACTGCACAGTAAATATTTGTATATTAAATACAAAAATGCTAAGATAATTTCAAAACTTGAAACATAACACCAAAAAAAAAAATCCGTTTATTGTTTATCCAATGTCAGGGAAGCCGGAGCTATTTTCAAAAATGAAAAACTTATTGTATGAAAGATACGTAAACATACTAAAAATTAATCATGACATATTTTTTACCAATTACCAAAACCATTCCTAGGACCCATAAGTTAACATTATCTGGTCATCATAAGCTTCTTACAGATATTCCTATCTTTATTTAAAATACAAATGTATTTTCTAAAGGTCACAGCTGGCAGAAGAAATGTGATTGACTGAAATTATACTTGATAAATAACATATCGTACTAACCTTCATAACAGGCAAGACCTTGACAAGGAGCCCCCTCTTCTAGGTCACAGAAGGTTCCCATTTTTCCCTCTGGACACCTGCAGGTGTAACCCAATGGAGAGCCATCTGGTGTACAAACACGATACTGTGGACACGGTCTACGAGCACATTCATTCACTTCATGATCACAGCGTTCTCCTAGTTGAAAAAACAAAGCAGCTGTGCTGTGTTATTTGTTTCAATCTCTAACCAATGCAGAGCGTTTTAGTTTCAGAAGTTAATGTTTATTTATACAGATGACTGAGTACTTTATATCAAAAGAATTTTGAATGTGTAAGTCATGTGACAATCACAGCTGATATAAAGTGACAGTGGAATGGTACGTATTATATCTACATTTTGACATTCTTTGGCATTTTGTAAGTAATTGATCACTTTCGTGAAGGGCATGTAACAGCCCTTTCTGATGTAAAACATTAAGATGCTGAGATCAGAAAGATTTGGACACTACAGCTTTATGAGATAGCCTTTTGCAATGGAAACTATGCTGCAGGACTATTGTCATTATGCATGGTCATCAGACAGAACAGCGTTTCTCAACCTTTCCGATACCAGGGCCTGGCTCACTGCCTCCCTAAACTGTTGAGGACCATTGAAATGCAAGTAAAACAAACAGTTATGATTTACATACCGATATTCTGTTTGTTTTCGTGAAATTTCACGGATCAGCAAAGTGGTCATAATTGACTGGTGCAGGTCCATTGACCAGTGGTTGAAAAACAGACACAGAGCATGACCAGACATGATGAGTTTACAAATAATAGTTTTAATATTATGTAATCAACTTAGCTTGTGTGAATTGGTTTTATTATTCTATTTCAATCCATCATACTTTTTCCTTATCATTAACAGAAGATCTGTTGGTGAAACTTGATATTTAACTATCAAGATAACGAAAGTTTAGTAGACAAAACAACAGTTATCCATCAATTTTGTGCAGAAACCTTACATATACTATCATATTAAGTTAAAGAAATTCACTTGATGGTTTAACATTAAATGGAGTATAATTTAATAGAGTGCATCACCTTGATCACTCTCATCACTCCTTTAGAATAGGTATTAATATATGTTATAGAAAACAAGATGGAGAAGGTTTATAAAACATAGCAAGATGAAGATGAACAAGAAATAATACACAAAACACCATTACATTTACCATGTACGGTAACTGGAATTACAAAGAATAAGCCATGTAAATTCTTAATTAGAACAAAGACTACTTATTGCATAAAATGAAATATACAATCCTCTGAAGATTCTACCACATGACTCTGGCTAAAAAATACTAAATAAAACAGTCCTAACTGAAATTAATAAAATGGTTTAAACAGCTACAAAAGAAAAAGTTCAGTTGATTTTTTTTTCATTTTTTGAAAGATTTTAGTATGCATATTATACAATTATGCATCACCTTTGTTTTAAGTTGAGAAACAACCATAGTAAGTTATAAAGAGTGAATTTATGTTTGACGTGTACAAAAATGGTAACTTGGATCTTCAAATTTTACATACGAGCGAGACAAATGGATGAAAAAATTTGAATCTACAAAATAAATTGATGATCTTTGTTGCTGAATAGGTGTAAGATTTCCTACAACATTCAGAAAACAGTTATTTTAGTAAGATGGACAAATTTCTTGTGAGATGGAAAAATGGTTTTAAAACAAAACCGTTTCTCATGCAACTCGCGACAATACGATAACAAAAATCGTGTCCATTTTATTTTGATTAATTAAGTGATATGCAGTTTATATTACTGTAAAAATAACCATTCTGACAGGTACTTTAAAAGCATGATGGATATGGACGTACCTCCGTAACCTGGATCACAATGGCACTCGAGTTTCCTATAATGTTGGGGAGACACATAACTTAAAGAGTCAGTTGTGATGCTAATGGCATGGATCTTGTCTAAAATAACTCTGTCAACACATTCTCCATGATCGCAGTGGTTTTTGGTGCACCTGTCTTCTGTAACCTGAAAACAGTAAAGAAGAAAGAAAAAAGGAGGATCAATTTTGATTTCCTCCCAGTGCCCAGTTTTATTATATGCGAAACACTGCCTTTCAAACAGTTTACTAATATATATATATGTCAAAGTTTTGTTTACAATGTATTTTAATGTAACCCATCAACTAAATGCTGGAAAAAGAGGACTTGTAATACTTTTTATAAATCAAAAGTTAACTATTTCTTCTCTTTAAATCAGCAAAACCTTTATACCAAGGCTGTTCTTAATGTTGGTCATGGTTTAAATGTTTCTTTTTCAATTCAAGTTTCTTTCAGATATATTAAAGAAATCTAACATATTTATTAAAATAAAGTTTAAAAAATTCAATATACACTAATGTCCCAATTTGTTTAGCAGGTTAAATGCAGAGTCAGTCAGTCCTAAATGACATAGAACACAGTTTTCTTAACTACTTATGCACCAAGTTCAATCTGGATTCATGAATTTACTGATTACAGGACCTCTAGTAAATATTCCAGCAATATTGCAATTAACCCACTAATTATTATTGGAGTTCTCTATAGTATTTTACACAGGGAAAGAGGGACTTCACCCAAGTTTTCTGGTCAGTTGTTTAAACTGACTATTGTAATAGGCAGAAACTTAAAACTACTCAATACATGAACCCACAACTGAACAGTTTCAAAATAACTCAGTAATTTGATGGTTAAGTACACAATTTACTGAACTCTGTATCCAATATGAGTAACTTAATAAAAAAACTATCTTATAAATACACCTTAACCACGTGCTTCGGAGTACAAAAGCTAAGTCTTGATTCAACCCTTTCTACTATTCTTTGGTAACAAAGATAAATTGTACTGATTTGAAAGCCCCTTAGTTTTCTTTGATTTAACCTATCATTAAAACAAACAAGTTTATTAGACGTGCTAAATTTTATGCCAAGAACAAAACGTCTCAGTACATTGTACATGTAAAGATAATGGAAAAGTCTTTTTTTTTTCCTTCTTTTTTTTTTTATCTTACCTTTACAACCATGAGTCCAATAGTTGATTCGAAAGATTCTTTCTGCTCTTTCAATTTTGTCAAAATTGTGTTTGGCGAATAAAATCCTTGAATACCCTTTTTTATTGCAAACAAGATGTCTAGATCCTGTCGCGTGCTTCTGCGACTTCTGATGGACTCATCTAAGGATGGTTGCATGCTGATAATTGTCACATCTTGAATTCGAACATTTAAAATGTTTCTTACTGCCCTAAGAAAACCTTTCTTGTAACTAAGAAGGAAATCTTCAGGAGTAACATCATCGAGACTGATACCTATACTGTTCTTCACTGCCTCCTCCATCACCACAGAGACCTCTACCAAGGCAGTTCCATATGTATTAAACTTTCCATCACTGACACTGACAGTAATATTGTAGCTCCCTGAATCCAATCCTTCATAAGCAACCAATGTACCATCTTCAGGATCAATCTTAAACAAATGTTTGTGAGGCGACACAATATCATAGATTAACTTGTCATAGGGATCGCTGTCTGCGGCATGGACTCGTCCCATCACACCTCCAGGAAACTCATCTAGATAAGAGCTCACAGAAACTTTCAAAGAGTTTACCACCGGAGGGAACTGGCTTTCTTCGATGATGTGAATCACAACCCATGTCTCACTGCTCTGTGGTGGTATGCCTCCATCTGAAACCTTGATGTGGAGAATGTATTCATTCTTAAACTTATGGTTGAACAAGGTGGCTGTGCGTAAAGAAGCATCTTGCTGGACCAGGCGGAAAGACTTGTCCTCATTTCCAGAGACAATGTCAAATGTAAAAGGGGTTGTATTTGGAGGGGAGTCAGCATCAGTGACCGAAAATTTCAGAATGGTAAACCCCCGCTGTTTTCCTTCCTAATGGATAGTGTAAAATATCTAATTTTAAAGAAACATACAATACTGACTGCATTTTAACAGAAAATAAATAATATTTTCAATAAATATATCATTACTTTCTTTGAGATGCACAGCCCATTCAATTGGTAAAAACAAATCATACAACAAATAAAACTAAACAAAAAAACAAAAGCCTGTTTCTTATAGCAAAGTTAAATAACTACTTGTTGTTGCTAATACCATGTACTATAAATTTTTCTACAAAACAACTTCATCAAAGCATATTTGGTTCTGAAGAATAAGCTTGGCTCCAAAGCTATAACAAAACATAAAACAAGCCTGCAAAATAGCTTTGCGTATAGACAACACCAACTTAAGAATGAATTTCTATTTGTCTACTTCCGCTTAATTTACAAATTACCTTTTAAAAAAGACATGCAATAAAAATACATGTATAAATAACACATTTATGTTGTTATTAGTTCACAAAAAATAATAGGACAATATATCAGCACATATTTCATGAGTATATTTATATATACATACAATATCCCTGTTCCAAATTATTCTTTCTTGCATCACACCACATTGATTCCGACTCCAAAGAGAATTATATTTTCAATTAACTGTTAAAGTTTTCAGTATTCAGGCAACTCCCTGTTACTATCTCAGTATTTTAGCAATTCATTATTACTGTCTCAATATCCAATGTTACTGTCTACTGCAATAAGCATGCTGTAACAGCAACCACAATAATACGAAAATTCGTTTTCACTGCATAACAAGCCACATTAAGACACAGAACACCTTTACTTACTACTGTTTCCAATTTATCAAGCTGGTTAAGAAGCAAAGAGGAGAAAAAATGTGTGTAAAACACACGATTTAATACAAACAATATTTACAGTGACTAGAGTACAGTTTAAAATTTTATACTTTAAAAGATGATATCATTTAATGGTCACAGAAAGAGTAAAATTAGATAAAATAAATTCTCAAAATTGGCTCAAATATGTTCAATGGGACCTTTCTATTTCACTCTACATACTTTAGAACAACAAAAAAGTTCTAATCACACAATTCTATATATATATATATATATATATATATATATATATA